TAGTTGAAAGCCAAAGTACAGAGTTACATCTCTGAGGCAAGTAAATTACCTTTTAGGTCAAATCAATACAATTTTTCCTATATCTTATTATTTGTAAATTTAGATTATCAAGGATCAGTTGTGTATAACCAGGGCATTTATTTTTTTTGTATATATTTAACTAAGTTGACTGTACATCATTGGTGGTGGGTATTTTAGGGTAAATTTAGATTGTATATATTGGATAGGGATTAAATTTTTGGTGAAAACTAAATATTTCAATTCATACCTGCATCCTTTTTTTATTTCAGCAAATAGCTTTACAAGATACCTTGGAAAGTTTATGTTAATACTTTCCTGGCGCCCACTCATATTTTGGAGCAACTTCTATAATCACTTATTTATCTTAGTTATATACCTATAGGTTGTTTATTACCTTGTCATTCATTTTCTTAGTCTACGGTCTCTGTAGGGCATGCAAGTTGGCCGAATCCTCCTTTGAGTGTCAAGTAGTCACTCTCCGACACCTTCTGCTAGCCAGCTTTAAAGTATACGTTATTTTATACATTACCCCAAATACTTGTGTTACATTACACACTTTTATTACATTGGCGTCCTAAACCTCGCAGTCCACACATTTTTTGTTACACGCTTCAAACTTTCTGAATATTCTTGCAAGTATAAGCTTTAAAAATGTTTTCAATAGTTGTGAAATTAAGCTGACTAATCTATAGTCATTACAGTGTTTGGTATTCTTGGTTTTTGGTAGCGGAACAAAAGTCGATAGTAGCCATTCTGTAGGTATCTCACCAGATTTGTACATGTATAAACCACGCTTCATTAAAACCTTTTAAAGAATATGCAGATAGAATCTTTTATTTCAATTCATTTTTAATTTTAATAATAGACTTTAAATTTGTTTTAATAATTTAAATTCATACATACTTTTGTAAATCATATTGCCATTGCCGTTGCTAATTTTTTTGTATAATTATTAATTTTTTGGAACCTCATGAAAAGGCAAGACATTTAACTTTATATTGTCAGCTAACAAGATTTCTTCTTGTAATTATTTTATTGGGCTTTTTCTTGTTGTCTCCATTTTTGATGGGACTCCCTAATTAACACTACGTGGTGTTCACAACAACAACTACTGATTGAAGGGATCTAGTAAGCTATCATGCTAGCTACTACCACTACAGCCAACTAGCATTATTGCCAACATCAATACTGCTACCATTACAGCCAAAATCCATGCTGCCGCTACTATAGCCTACATTATCTTCATTTGAAGCTACAACCAGCTCTCCCTAGATTTTATTGTAAAGCTTAGGCAAGATTTGCTCACCAAATTATTGGGTTTCGTTTAGTTTTCTTTATAATCTTTTATTTGTCTTTCTCAATTTTTTTACTATACAATTTGCAGTAAGATAAGACGTGTCTACACCTGACAAAAAGCTAGTCGAAGACCTTACAATAAAATTGGCATCTCAAGTTTCGTTTTCAATTACACGACTGAGGGGTCGTAACAATTTAACGATATAGATGGTTGCTTAATTGTTACAATTTATATAGAACATTAAGTTTTAAAAATAAAAAAGGCTAATAACTATAGATTATTTGTAGAAGGATAAATAAAGGGATTAGGACATACCTGAGGGTATTAAATTGCTTGTGGGTTTCTCTGAAAGGAAATATAAAGGGGTAACAAAATCGTGCTGTTTTAATTTAAATAAAGTAAACATTTTTAATAATTAGGGCTTCCTTAGTAAAATAGTTTATTATTGGAAGCATAGCTTTCTTATCGCGGGCTATGAACGGAGCGGTGCACCGAGGTGGATCGCGCAGAGGTGTAAAAAATATAAAACCGACAGCAAGGACTGCAGCAACTGTAAGGACTATGGTAAATGTAAGGACATATCACATGACCATACACTACGTGGAGTAGTAAATATTTAATACCATAAATCGAATCGATTTGTGGAATTAAATAGGTGTATATCCATGGTTTGAATTGGGCGTTGTATTGTTCACAGTAAGTGAACCTTTTACAGCATTCGTCCCAGTCATCCTTACGTTCATTAAACATTCGTTTATCGTTCTGTGCAGTTTTCTTAACTTCCAATCGATTGTGGGTGATGTGCAGTTACCTTGATCCGTTATTTGTTTCGTTATTCCGTAGGCAGGTATAACGTTTTCAAAGATTCCTCTGGCTACTGTATGCACCTACTTGTCCTGTACTGAGATGCTTACTGCGTAGTTTGTTTATTCATAAAATATTTTAATGCAGTACCGGTTCACTCCTTTGATCCGTGAGAACGGGCCTATCGTGTCAATGTATACTATGTCCCAGAGTTTTTTTTATGTGTCTATTCCTATTTATGGCAATTCTTTGGTTTATTTACTTGACATTTATGACAGTTTTTGATGCCTTTCAACTTTTTCCACATTTATCCATCTTTATTAATCTATTATTTCCTAGGTGGTCCCCAAACATGGAGTTTGAAATGTTTCTATTAATTGTTACTTTTCTTTTGTTTCTGTTATCATTTTAGGTACTCCACAAATACACATTTCTACATTTTTTAATGGTTTTTTCCTTCCTCCATGAATTCTTTAATTGTGCATTTCTTGAAAATAATATCGTTAATGTATATCTTTAATCTTTTAGTTTCTCTAGCCCCGTAAGCTGATTTAACTTTTCCAACGTTTGATCTCGAAAAGTGAATAAAGTCGGTAGGTAGTTTTTCGCAAACCTTGGTCCTGTTTTTGATCCGTATTCTCAGCCTTGGCGAGATGCGGCTATCCTTCTCCTTTAGTATAACTTATTTAGTACCTTTCTTCTTGCTATTTTTTACTATGGGTTTCTGGCCGTTTTTTTATTGGAGACGGATTTTTGCCGTTCCCCCTTTGCCATCGCTTCTTTTTTTGCTTGGGCCATTGTTATTGCTTTAAAATTGTCTATGTACAAGTCTTTCAATTGTTCCATAGATACCCTTTAAATACTATCAGCATAGTTATTATTGTTTGTAAAAATTATTGCATGTCAATATGTTGACAAAAATGTCTGTAAAATCTTCACAAAGTGTCACAAGTTTGTGTTTCGCATACTCGGATACTTAAGTAACTTGAGTACTAACTTAAGTAAGATTCTAGTTGATGCTGGTATTAAATTTACTATGAAAGTCATAAAAAGTGAAGTAATAAAGATTAATACACCCGACACTGATCAATACAGAAAACTAAAGAGAGTTTAAATACGAGTAAATGTTCGCATCACACATATGAAAATAAACAAGAAAGACCGATCTGAATAATTGTAAAAAAAATTACATCATACTTGTCAGTCACAGAACATAGTAAAAGCCACAGAGAAGAGGATTTAAAGCTATTTAAGCTGATAAGAAATTGAAGTGGAGAACTAAAAAACAACTATATATGTTCATCCTGACGTTAAGCCAAGATGAAGATATTAACAAAATTTTTAGAATAACTGACATATTGAGCATGAGAGTTGAAATCCAACCACTAAAGAGCTTAAAGTTGGTACCACAGTGCAAAAGATGCCAGGTCTTTGGTCATACCTGGAAATATTACAATAAGGAACCAAGATGTGTTAAATGCATTGGTAATCACCTCACAAAAGATTGTCAAAAAACTCTAAAGAGGAGCCAAAATTCATCAAAGCCACTGAAAATAAAAATATAGTGATATAGTAAAACAATCGTAACAATAATTGGAATACAAAAAACATACAGAAATTGCTAAGCAACAACGAATGATGGAATGGAATGCCAATGGGCTTCAACAATATCAAAATGAGCTGCAAGCAATCCTAGATACAGAAGAAATTGATTTGTGTCTCATATTTGAAACACATTCCATTAACAAAGAACAGTATGTAAAATATATGAAAAGTTTGAGAAAAAGATATATAATTATAGATGACTTTAATGCAAAGCATACCCAATGGGGATTACAAGATTGACAAAAACTAAAGGAAAAGAGTTACTGGCAGCCCTGAAAGAACAGAAATGTCAAGTAATAAGCCCTGAAAGTACAGAAATGTCAAGTAATATCAACAGGTAGTCCGACTTATTGGCCAACAGATAGAAACAAAATACTGGACTTAATTTTTATTTAAAATATTTCATCCAATTATATAGGTATTAATGAAAGTTGGAATGTGAATTCAGATAAGATGAGGAAGTAGAGTTGTTTGTTCAAAATATCCAAAAATCAACATGGAAAACTACTACTACTAAGATCAAAAGTAAAAGTAAACAACTATCCGAAACAAATTAAAAAGTTAATTAAAGAAAAAAGGAAGTGGCAACAAACCAGAGCTCCCCAAGATGAAGATGAAGAAGAATGAGTCAATCAGTTCTTATCTGAGAGAGCTAACTGATAATAGCAGCACTGAGTACTCTCTATGGTAAGCAACAAAAAGGCTAAAAGGACCAGTAACCCATTCACCACCCATTAAACTGGTAGACGGTCTAGAAGCAATGAACAAAAGGTAGAGAGATTTTCCACATATTTATCTTAATTCTTATGCCTAAACAATATTCAAAATCATCGCTCCGTGCTTAGAAGAAAGCCGTGCTTCCTCTCTCCGGTCACTCCCGGAGTGCTACATCCCGTTTTTTTTAATAACAGGACGTTAAACAAATAAACAGTTACAAAGATCAAAAAGCGTTCATACAAATTTTTCAGACTAAGTGTAAAATAACAACAGTCACTGTATATTTTTGGCTTATAATATGTGTCATAGTGTCATCATTCAACATGGTAATTTTTTCAACATATTGAGCATTTCTGGTTGTAGTTTTTAAACAAAAGTAAATAAAGAAAAAATCAAATTATTTTTTTATTCCAGTAAAAACAAAGTCAAGCTGTTAAAGGCTATCAAATATTTTTGACTTCTCAAATTACTTGTTAGTTGTTAAATAATTTAAAATACATGTATATATCTTTGATCTGCGAATAAGTATAATATTCTTTGTAGTCTTAAAACTTACCTCATTCTGAGGACCAAATTGACAGGAGGCGGTTCAGCGGTTTCACTTAGATCTTCATGGTCTGAACCTGACGAACCTATGGAGACAAGAGTATTCATTGGCTTCGAGTCGTTGTCGCTGTCACTTGAACCGCCGCCGTCTTCATCTTCACTGGACCATACCCATTCTCCCGTTTCTTTGCGATGTAAACGTCCCGAAGCCCCTGGTTGTCGTTTCGAGGCCTACACATTAATATTTAACCAAGTTATTTTTATAACTTAAAAGTTTCAATTATAAATCATTATGCATTTGACTTATATCAACTGTAACGATTATGCTCTTTAATAACGGAATTTTATGGAAATAAACCACAATTATAATTAAAAATAGTTTATATATCCACATAGAAAAACGTTCCCAAAACACAAATTATGATACTCCCACAGAAAAAAAAGGCGGGTAGGAAGGCTTCGATGTAGCATACCACCAAAAGATATACTGGGTGATTGGTACTTTGTGCTGAGCATACTACAAATATTCAAAAAATTACATCGAATAAGCCAAGTCAGAGATAAACGGGCTGAAATCATGGATATGGTATGATTAAAAAATATTTAGAAGTAATTTAATTGCGTACATGTAACTATTTTGTACCGGTTTTAACCTATTTACATTTATATCTCTCCTGCTACTAATTTTTCAATTCGATTTAGGTTTACGTGTCATAGCCATGATTTAAATAAGCACATTAAAAAAAGAGCTGATCGATAATTGAACATCAATTGAACAATCAATTGAACAATTGAACATATATTAGAAATAATCCAGCTTTTTATAAATAAAGGGATTATTAACTTACTTTTTGAACTCTGGTTTCCAAACTTGGTCCTATTGCTACTAGCGTGGACTGAAGATACTTTTTATCCTTTGCCTTTTTGAAAAAGGCATGTTTTAACAAATCCGCAGCAGTAGGCCTTTTTGCAGGTTCTTTTTGAAGACAATCTGTTATTAGCTTCCGAAATGTTTTACCATAAGCCTAGTAATATTACAAAAAATATAGACAAATATAACACAAATACTGCTTAAAAATATTTATTTTGAAAATTCGATTATATTTATTCTAAATCTATAAAAGCAAGCCAATGAGGTGGTATCACAAAAGAAGTAATCAATATTTATTTGATATTTATTACGTTCTCTCTATGTTGCCATACGAAAACATGTAAAAACAATGTAAAAGAATAATAACCAGAATACTACAAAAAAACCAGAGAAATTGTTACAGACGGTATATACGCAACTAATAATGACGCAGATATAGCAACTTAAGATGAATTTTAGTGCAGCTTGTAGTCTTTGTTTAAAAACCTGTTCTCACATATTTGAAGAATTATAATATCTTTACCAGATACGTCATTTTCTTCAGCCCATATTATGAAGGTATTGAAACAATTAAATGCTATATCTGCTTTTACTTTTATAGTTTTTCTAATATTTCTACTAGGCTTTCTTCTACTTTTAGTACTACTTCACATATTTCTTCATCTGTCATAATTTTCTCTGTTTATTCGATCCATTCAAACCAAACATTTAAATCTTCTTCACTTGTTTCGAATCCTTTTCTGATAAATTTTGAAAACAATCAGCAATTGGTACATTATCTTAAGAATCACATTTTTCCATTTCTTGTGATACAGCATTCATTGTAGGCCATAGGTTTCCACGATGATTGAATTAAATCAGGTGAAACAGAGCTCCGCGTGTGAGCAACAGAAAATACAACATCCTTCAAATTAAACTTTTTGAGGTTCTGCGTCATCTCGTCATATTGAGAAATGTAATGGACGAGCAATTTATTTTTATACAAGGACTTAACTGTACAAAAGTGTACGGTTTGGTGGTAAAAAGATGGTTTGGACACTCCCATCAATTGATCTAAGTACTTGTTAATTTGAGTAACCTAGACCATTGTCAAGTACGAATAAAAATTTTATGGACAATTTGCATTTTTTCATAAAATTATTCACTTCTGGGTCCAGAAAGTCTTGGGGAATGGAACCATTCACTAAATATCTCTCGCGACTCAACTTCTTGTAGTAGATTGCCAGACAAAGATTTACAAAGCTGAGATTTTTAGCTTTAATAATAAATAACAAATTCAATTTACAATTAGTCACTTTACAATTTGGTGGACTTGCTTTTTTAGAGAATACAAATGTTTTGTTGGGCAAGTCTCCAAAACAGACCACTGTCGTCTGCATTATAGATTTGGTCCGGAAGAAGACCCAGTTCTTTCTTTCATTGTATTTTTTTCCATCTTTGGACATTCACCAACTCTTAATAATATATAATTTCAGTATTTGAAATTCCATGCTCACATTTCCCTCCATCATAATACAGGTAAGAATTTAAAACAGAATCTATGAACATTCCATTCCAGTCCGCAATTCTTGTTCCAGCTTCATCCGCTTTTATAAACGAAGATTATCCGAGAATCCATTTAAACCCCACAACACCCTGACTACCTGAATAAAAGGAATGATGGCACCCGGCTACCTTCAACATATAGATCCATTCCCAATATATTCTTTCGTATCATTTCGGGTATTGATTCACGGCATTTCTGTATGCTCTTTGACCGATAAACAGATCACTAGAAAAAAATTTTCTTCTTCTTTTTATTTAGACATGGCTCTGCCTGTTTTTCAATGTGCCTCAGTAAGTTGTCGTTCCATCGTTTTCGTGGTCGTCCTACTGATCGTCTTCCTATTGGGGAACCGTCTCTTGCCGTCTTTACTACTCTGTTTGTTGTCGTTCTTCTTTGATCGTTCCATTCTACTCTTCTATTTCTTACCCAGTGATTGATGTTCCCCGCCTTGCATCTACGTTGTATATCTGTACTTTTAGCTCTATCCCATAAAGTGTTTTCATCTCAGCTGTTTGTAACATCCTTTTTGTCCTCTCTGAGTCAGGCTGTGTTTCTGATGTGTATGTCATTATTGGTCTGATGACGGTTTTGTAAATTCCGCCTTTCATTTCTTTCTCGATATTTTTATTTTACCTATTGTTTCATTCAAGCAACCTGCGGCTCTTTTCGCTCTATTCAATTGATCTTCCACATTTGTTTCGAACTTTCCGTAGCTAGAAAGTGTGATGCCTTAAACTCCATCACTTCTTCTATTATCGGACCCTCAAGCTCCAATTTACATCTTCGTAGTTTTGCTATTATAACCATGCATTTTGTCTTTTTTTTGAGAAATTAACGTGTTCAATTTTCTAGCACTATATTAAATTGCAGCAGCATATGTTGTAAATAATCTTCACTTTGATATATCAGTTTTGTGCAGTCTGCATAGCAGATTATTTTAAGTTGTTTTTCTCCCATTTGGTATCCTTTTTGCGGTGGTATTTTTTTATTTCATCCAGGACCAAAGATTAACAATAGAGGGCTCAGGGAATCACATTGACTTATCCCATTGCCAGCTTCAATTGGGTCAGTTAGTTCTTCTACTTTTACTTTTATTGTGTTGTTTTGGTAGATTTTTTCGATCGTTTTGATTATTTCTAGAAAAATTACTAGAATTATTGGAAACTAAAGAACTTTTAAGAAAATATCCGAAAATATGAGATTCTTTTATATAGTTTCAAAACATTAGAAGGATCTAGTCCAAATTCCTTGAAGAGTCTATTCATTGTATATATACTATAATATTACTTGAGTGTACATAAGTAAATCAAATTTTTACCTTATACTGATCTTTTTCTTCAGCTCCTGTATCAAGATTTGGTGGTTCATTCTGAAGAGTTAACATAAGCACCTTCATAGGAGGATATTTATGATATGGAGCAGTACCAGAAGCCATTTCGATTGCTGTAATACCAAAAGACCAAATGTCTGCTTTGAAATCGTATCCATGATCCTAAAATTTAAAGTCATTAAAGTTTACAACTAAAACTAAAAATTAGAACATTGTTCTAAAAAGCTGTAAACGAAATACTAGTTCCTTTCTTTTACTTTTAAATATTTAATGAAAACTACTAAAAGTTTTTGCCGGAAAAAAAGTAGCATATTAATGATATCACTTTAAACAATCAATATTTAAATTCCCCTTAAAAAAGTATAAATAATTTTATTTATAAAATACTTGGTGAATATGCAAAATGTTTTTCCAATATATATATATATATATATATATATATATATATATATATATATATATATATATATATATATATATATATACAGTATCAATTTTAAAACTTACAATAGGCTATATCTCACGAACAAAAGCTGATATCCAGTAGCCTAGAGAGTAAGGGGGAACTAAAACGACATGAAAAAGAACTCACCTCCATCAACCCCCTAGGCCCACCCACCACAACCAAAAATTGCAAACCCCTACTTGTGATACATCATTGAAAAGACTATAAAAAATGCTATCCAATGGTATAAATATTAATTATACAGGGTGAAGCAATAATTGTGGAACTTTGGCTTAAATGGAAAATTTAATGAGGTTTTTGTTGAACTACAAATTTATTAAAAATGTCAAGTAAATGTTCAAAGTGGGTTCCGTTGTTTTGTAAATTTTTCTTATTTTCTAACTCTACACGAACTTTGGCAAATGTTGACCTAGTAATAGCGCGACATGCTTGCGTAATTCTTTCTCGCAAAGTGATGCAGGTTGAGTTTCATAAACAACTGACTTGAGGTAACCCATTAGAAAAAAGTCAGGTGGCGGTACGTCTGGTGACCTGGGTGGCCTCTCAATAGGACCTCTCCTTCCAATCCATTTGTTAGGTTAATTAGTATCTAACCAGTGTCTAACTGGAGCTGCATAGTGAGAGGGTGCTCCATTTTGTTGAAAGTGCAACAAATCTTCGTCTAGATCTAAGTTGCTTTGATCGTCCCTTGGTTCCCTAATTCATGCAAAATTTAAGGTTCGATGGTGTTTTCCAGCATATCTAGATAAATGTCGCCACTTACATTGCCTGGTATTAACAAGGGGCCAATTATAGCATCGCCTAATATTCCTGCTCAAACATTCAGTTTTTCAGGATATTAAGTATAACCTTCTCGCATCACTCCAGTACCGACAGTTGTGTTTATTGACATTACCATGCAGCATAAGGGTGCTTTCATCAGTGAAACAAATATTTTTTAACATTCTCGCGAATTCTTTCAGTCATGAGTTCACAAAACTCAATTTCTCGGTCTGGATCATCATCGCCTAATTCTTGAAGAATTTGTGTTTTGTACAAAATTTATGTAATTTCAACACCTTTCTAACCGACTCATGTAAAAGTCCTGTCATTGTAGATACTTGACGTATTGATGCAGTAGGCTGTATTGCAAAATTTCCAAGGACGTCAATTTGGGATGCTTCATTCAGTAATCTTGGGCATCCCTTTTTTATTTTGCACTTATCCCATTTCTCTAAACTTTTCAACTAAATCGCGGACGTACACGTGACTTACATTTTTGTTCGGATGCCTTTCGTGAAATATTTGAGTGTTTCTTGTTCGGAAATATGATAATGATCTCCACGCGTTCAGGTATACTGTTACCATCGTGATAACTACAGCTGAATGACAGTACCGATCGTACAAATGATGAAAACTAATGACATTTAAAGTTCTCAAATAAACCAAAAATTAATAAATCTGACAGAATTCAAAAAACATATGTTTTCAATTTGTGTTGCAAAAACGACAAATAAAGTTTTTATTAAAAAAATTCGACGGGCACTTATCATTAAAAATAATAGTCTGGGAGATAGCATTACAAATAAAAAAGTCGTAGTAAGCCAGCTGATATTAACACCCTGTATTATTATTAAAAAATAATTATACAGGGTCATCAACAGAATCAACAAAAACCTAATTAAATTTTCCATTTAAACCAAAGTTTTATAATTATTGCTTCACCCTGTATAATTATTATTTATATCATTGGATAGCATTTTTTATAGTCTTTTCAATGATGTATCACATGTAGGGGTTTGCAATTTAAACTTTTTTAGTTGTAGAAATATCTCAACAACTAAAGATAAATTAATCATGAAAATTAGAATGAAGGTTTTGAAGAGTGACCTATTTAATGAAAATATTTTCATCTATTTGCTACTTTCCGTTATACAGGAAGTATTCCCTATGCCCATCTCTTGCAGTTTTCAAATAAATTAACTTTATACATTTTTGTCACAAAAGAATCAGCCTATGGAGTGTAAAGATCCATGTAGCCTATGGAATATTCTGACAAAAATATCAGTTATAATAATATTTTGCCTAATTTTCTTGAAAGGTTAAATAATGGATTATTTAGGATATATAAATGATGATATTTTAAATTTAATTATAATTTACGGTGAGTGTAACTATATCCAGAGTGATAATAGTATCCAGAACTTGCCATGTTTTTCCTGAGAAGCTTCGACCTAATCATAAAACTGTAAAACGTTTGTTTTGGTTAGTTTAAAAGTAAAAGGACACACGTCGATAAAAATGACTTAGAAATAGATATCCGGTATATTATAGCTAATCCAAATTTATCCTTACGCTAATGTGAGCAATTGTTACAGGTATCGACTCGAACAATTAACAGAATTTTAAAAAACATCATTGGACCTATATTCGTATACACTAGCTCAACATGTTTAACCGCTATAAAAGTCACATATGGAGTGACGAAAATCCTCAAGTCACGTGGGATAGTAAATTTGAAGCATTCTTTTCGTAAAGTGTTTTTTGTGCTGTGAAAAATCCTTGCAAATAAAAACAAACAAGGTGACTACCAAAAGGATACTACACAGCATCTTCGTTATTAATGCATTTCATCATATTTTTTATTTTTCTTTCAATCACAAAAAATTGTTCACCCAAAAAATCGATAAAAATACACCGTTTTATAAAGGGCAGTGTATTTTTATCGAGTTTATAGTTTATATACTTTAAAAAATGAACCGGGCATACGTAATGAAAACAAACATCGAATTCGAATGAAGGAGATGTGCGTCCCATCTGTTTTTCTGTGCTTCTAAATGATTTTCAATAATTTTCTGTCGTTGTCTGAAGGAGATCGGGAATTACAATTACCTTTATGAGGTAACGTTGTTGATTTTAGCGCTTTATGTAGTTTGCCATATCTAATCCAAAACTTAACATACTGTATATACATATACCAATTTTGTGTTTGTTGTTTAGTGGTGTCGTCTATAAAGCTGAGGATGTAGAGTATTTTTGTGTCTATTAATTCAATGTATGTTCTAAGAATGGTTTGAAAACTTTTGCTGATAAAAACATCCTTGAGTACTCGAAAAGCCGTCACCAGTGATTTTTTTCTGCTTTATCTTCCCTTTTTGATGTATCGGCTTGTTCGTCTCCTTCGTTTATTTTGCTATTCGTTTTCTATTTTCGTTTTTAAGATCTTTCTATATACTGCTTATTGCAGTGATGATTGCAATATTTCCAAAGTTTGCTTATGTACATTTTCAATAGTTTTGTCAAATAGGCGAACAGCTTGTTACTTAATACTTTTCTATTGTATATGTCTCCAGATATCGGTTCCTTATGGTTTTTTAGAAAACTCTATTGTTTTTTCACTTTATATTTTGATATTCTTACTGACGATCCCACTGTTACTACGTTTTGTATATTTTATTTGTTCCTTAAATTGTAGCCGCTCTTATATGAAGAGCTCTTTAAATGGTCGAGCTCATTGTTGTAAAATATTCTATTTATGATATATTTTTCCTAGTTGCTCTTCCTATGTAAGCGTCAATGCCTTTGGACTTTGTTCCCCCTTGATTTATAAGTCTTATACTTACTGTGTAATATGTTTTCCAATTTATCACTATGAGAGTGTAAATTATAATTAATTCATGAAATCATATTAATTCCGAGTTCCGAGTAATTAACTGGAATATTCCCATTAAAAATATCCTAATTAACATAAAAATACAAAAAAAATAGTTTTAGAACAATTTCAATTCGAAAACTTCAATTAGATAAAAATGATCATCGACGCGAATATTCTATAGCTGGATCAAACAAGCTAAACCTTGACTACTCTTTTGTTAACAGAAACAAAGCATATTTTAGTGGCGAAATAGAACTAATACGTCAAGATACTAGTGAGCGAAGTTACGATATAATTTCGTAAAAAAAGAATTCTCCTGGTTTAGACCAATTTTATACAAAAAAAGGATAAATTAATATAAATGTCTATACCTTACCTGCTCCATAACTTCAGGCGCCATCCAACATGGCGTACCAACAAAGGTATGCCTCACTTTTTCTCTGGATATATCACGACCAGTAGCCAGCCAAGCCGAGACACCAAAATCCGCAATCTGCACAGTACCATCCTCGCCCAACAAAATATTACCAGCCTTGATATCTCTAAAAGTATTATAAATTTTTATACAATTTTTATACAAATTTTTGTATATTTAATAAATTAACGTAAATTGTCGAATAACAAAAAATAGTTCGCAGTGAATTGCCTTGATCGAAGTCAGTTTTACGAGATTTTTTCTCGTGAGTTTAATTGTAATCTGAACCAACCCACATAGCACTCTAATAATCCGTCAAAGATGTCAACATTTTTAATTTATTCATGTTGTGAATAAACCGTGTGAATCTTGCATTTTTATGTAAATCTTCTTCTAAAGCTGCCTATCTTCTAATGATGAACAGTAGCTCGAAATAGATCAGTTGGGCTTGGACCAGTCCTTTCCTAAGATCCGCCAGACAGGATATACGTCTGCGTCCAAGGTCTATGTAGCCACCAATTTGGCCTTGTAGAATCAACGAAAGAAGTTGGTACTTATTATTACGCATAATGTGGCCCAAGTAAGCCAATTTTCTGTTCTTTACGGTGTTAATAATTTTTAAACAAATATTTGAGAACAAATATTAAAAATTGTTTTGTGTCTATATAAACAACTTAAACCTTTTTTTCAAGGTTTTTATTTTATCTAATTAGCCTTCTTTGGTCTATCTTTGGACATAGGCCTCCCCAATCCTTTTCCATTCTTCTCTGTCTGTCGCTACAGTCATCCACCTAGAGCCCCCGTGCTTCTTGAACTATTCCCGCGGTCTTCAACTTATAAGAATTTTGTTCCATCGGTCTTCTTTTTGTCTTATATTGTGTCCGGCAAATCTCCATTTCAATTTTGCAACTTCTTATCTAAAATCAATCACTTTTGGTTTCTGTCTTATCCACTCATTTCTCGTTTTATCCATTAGTCTTATGTGCAACATTTGTGTTTCCGTTGCTCTTATTATGTTTTTTACGATTTTTCCATGTTTGCTTTTGTAAATGTCAACGTTTGGGAACCATAAGTGAGAACAAGGAGTACGCATTGATTGTATACTTTGGTCTTCAGATGCTGTGGATATCTTTTGTTTTTAAGAATGTAGCTTAGTTTGCCAAATGCCGCCCCTATTTGTTTGTATCGATTTTGTTCCTTCATATACTTTAATTGTTGTTTTGGCTTCCTTATATATATATATATATATATATATATATATATATATATATTGGCTACTAGCTCCGAATATCTTGTGGTCAATTCTGCTGTTAATCAAAGAACTTTTCACTCCCAATGTTCGACACCGTCGAAAGCCTTTTCGAAATCTATGAATGCTATATATAGAGGAATGTGGAATATATTAGGGTTGACGGTTTAATAGCACGTTTACCTGCCTTATATACATATATACATATTTATTATATCTATAAGTATCTGTAAACAAGTTAGAGTTTGTTCACTAAAGTTAAAACCGTAGGTAAGTTTTATTTGACAAATTGGTGAAAACAACTCAATTAAATTATAACAACAATAAAAGAAATACTTGAAATAAAACTAGTTTTGCCAAAAAGCTTTTCTCCCATTTTCCCCAAATTTCCCCAATTATTTTAAATATAAAGCGGCATAAAAACAACAACCAAAATGATTTTTTTTAATCAGAAGGCAACATAATTAATAGACCCAACTTGACATTAATACTTTGTTAACGTTTTTATGGGTTTGATGAAAAAGGTTTTCTCTTAAACGTATTGGTAATATGGGAGATGGTTTGTTTGGAGTAGTCACAGTTTGAAATCTCTTGATGAAGGAGCTGTCTTACTGAGCCATTCCGTTGCTTATATTCAGTCGCAGCAAATGCCTGGCAGCCCCCGGTAAGATGTTGAATGATTTTTTGGGCTTGACATCCATATCGGCATTTGTCGTTTTGGACCCGAGGGAGTGGCAAGTAATGAACCTTCTGTTTCAGGGTACATCTTTCCTGATGTCAACCAATAGTTCGATGCTATGTTGTCGACATAGTCTTGACTGAGGTCATTGGGATGTCGCCGCGCAGAGGTTTGTCCATCCAGATTACTATTTTTTTCGTTCTTAGCTAGATAGTTTATGCGCATTTCTGGTTCCCTCTGTTGGATCGATGTTGTGTCATCTACTGCGCAAATCGCCTGATGTAGAAGATGTCTTAGCCTGCATCTAAAATTATTATTATAATTATTATTCAGATTTAGCCATACGGCTCACACTTCCTCTAAGGGGAAAATTCACTCATCCCAGATACCTACGGGATTAAAAGGATTGTGTTCTGATGGGACTGTTTCCGTGAATCTTCCAAAAATTTTCGTCTGCATCTGGATGCCGAGAGTAGCACAGCTTTCTGCATGGTCTTATAGAGATGTTCATTTAGATCCAGCTTTTTGATGTTTTCTAGGAGGTTCTTCGGAAAGACTCCAGTAGTAGAAAGAATAATAGGTATCGTCTGGGTACTTTCCATTCTCCATTGCCTCATTATTTGTACCTCCAGATCTCTGTACTTGGCGACCTTTTCGTTGTATTTAACACGCAGATTATTATTGTTAGGTATCGCCATATCGATTATTGTTGTTTGTCTCGTAAGTTTATTAACTAATACGAAATCTGGTCTATTATGTGCTACTGTTTCGTCTGTGGGCATAGTGCGATCCCAGTATAGTTTGCAGTTGTCAATCTCAAGCATACTCTCAGGAACGCATTGGTATATGGAAGATGGTTTGTGTGGAGTAGTTCCAGTTTTGAAAGTTATCTCTTGATGAAGGATCTTCCCAACTGAGCCATGCCGTTCCTTATATTCAGTTGCAGCAAATGCCTGGCAGCCCCCGGTAAGATGTTGGATGGTTTCTTGGGATTGACATCTTCTTTTTCTTTCTTCTTGTATGTAGGCTTTAAAGCCGGTTTCTTCTTCAATATTAGCCTCCTAAATTGTTTAAATTATTGCACCATCTTTTTCTTGGTCTGCCAATACTTTTTCATCCATTTGGTGACTTATCTCGTGGTATTCGTACTATCCTATCCTACTGCGCAAATCGCTAAGATGTCTTAGCCTGCACCTGAAGTCCTCGTCTTCTTAAATACCGCGGTTATGTCGTTCTTTCTACTGCACTTCGAGGAATATATTTTTGCGCCTTTGTAAGGTTTGTCCGTAATTTTCGCTGAAGAGTTTCTATATCCGTTTTAGTCTACTTAATAATAAATAGGTGTTTAGTGCGTTAAACACATTTTTACTATTTACTAGATGTGAGCGGAGCAGCTGTTGCACCCTTTATATGAACTCTGGAGTTAATTCGATTTTCATTTGTTTCTGGTCAATTTCCCCGCTTGCTTTACTCCTAGATATTTGTACAGACATTTGCTTCCATAACCTCGATGTTTTAGCCATTTTGTATATCGAATCCAAGGGCTGACCTATCCTCTGACTACATTCAAAATATGGCACTTGTCTAGGCCGAAGTCATACTAATATCATTAGAGAATGTTTCTACAGTTTTTAACATCTATGATGTTTAAGCTTCGCTGTTATAGTATTGTTGTTTAAAACCTGAGTCAGTGGAGTTCTATAGCTGGGATAGTGCGTTCATCGCTAGACAGAACCACAATGAACTCAACGAGTATCCTTGGAATAGACCGGGCTTAACTGCAACATTTTCTATTGTTGTCACCAGGTATTTGGAGGTGAATTTTAGTTACCAATCTGTCATTACATGTCTTAAAAAGGTCACTATATTATCATCGACTTTATAATATATTCTTAATATATCTACAAGCAATTCACACAGTAATGAGTCAAAGGCTTTCTTGTGGTCAATAAAGGCAGCGAAGAGGTTTCTTTTCTTATGTATGCCTGGTTAAAATTGACTGAGTTGATAATAAGTTGTTCTTTCCAGCCCATGGAACCCTTAGCGCATCATTTCTGTTTAAGTTCTGATATTATTAAGAGTGCAGTGTTGGTAGATCCGCTGGGCTACACAGGATGTGATCAATATATACAAAGTTAAGAGACAAGAAATTGGGAGGTACTTGCCTGGATTTTGAGTATTACTTTGATGATCTTTTAAGAACTTTTGATGCCAGAATTTTTGAACCCCGCCTAGTCCAGGAGTTTTCAAGTTATGAAGGTCTTTGATAATATTGGAGACTTCTTCTGTGGTGAAGGGTTCATAGAGAGTAGTACGGTGAGTTGACAGTGGTGCGTTGTATCTTCTATCCATCCAGCATTGGTGTTAAGAGCAGCTGGCGTAGAAAGTTGATTTCCTTAAAACTGCTGCATTTCTTCTTGGCTTTGGTATGATTTATTGGCACTTTCTACAGTAGGATTAAGAGAGAACGCCTTCTCGACATGCTCGAAAAGCGCATTGTCGCATTTCCGGCTGTTGCTGACCTGTTACCTTCTCAGCTGACCTGAATAAACGGAGAGTTGTTGTTTAAATGTATCCAGGTACTGTTGGGCTGTGTTGTTTTCTGGATCATATTGCGAGTAACAATAAATCAATCTTGTTTAGAAGCCGTTTTTTCCAGGGTACAACTGTTTTATCTGCCCTTCCGATATTGGTACCCCGTCCTATTCTGATCTTAATTCCCATTACATTAGCTGTTGCTGTTGGTGCACTGTAAATAAGCATGTGCAAAAATTCCAGCATATGGGCTTCCACGACGTAATTGGGTAGGACTTCAGTATTCATAATTTGTAACAGCGGATCTAGTTTCATCTTCTTCTTCAAGTGCCCTGTCCGTTGCGAACGTTGGCTATTAACATGGCAATTTTGATCTTTTTTGCGGCGCTTCTGAATAGTTCGACCGATGTGAGCCCGAACCACTTCCGCAGATTTTGGAGCCACGAGTGTCTTCTCCTGCCTGGCCCTCGCTTACTGTCTATTTTTCCCTGGACAATCAATTGTAGCAGATGGTACTTATCGTGTCTCAATATGTGGCCTAGATATTCAAGCTTTCTTTGTTTAATTGTATTCACGATCTCTTTCTCCTTTCCGATTCTTTGGAGTACCTCTATGTTGGTGACATGTTCGGTCCAGGATATACGAAGAATGCGTCGGTACACCCACATTTCGAATGCTTCTAGTTTCCTTGTTAGCGTCTCCGTCAGCGTCCAGGCCTCCACGCCATACAGCAAGATCGGAAAAATGTAGCATTTAACTAGACGTAGTTTTAGGGGAAGAGACAAATCCTTGCTTATGAGGAGCTTTTTCATATTGCTAAATGATGCTCTAGCTCGTTCTATTCTCGCCTTAATTTCTATGGTCTGTTCCCATTTTGCATTTACGTTGGTGCCAAGGTACACATAAGATTCTACATGATCAATTAGTATGTTACTTATCCGTAATTGTCCAGCAGGTTGTTGCTTTTTACTTATCAGCATCCACTTTGTCTTCTTGAAGTTTAGGCGCAGGCCGTATTCCTCACTAACTGAATAAAGTCTTTCCATTACTTGTTGTAATTCGTCTATGGTACTGGCAAGGATCATCGTGTCGTCGGCATATCTTATATTGTTCGTTAACTCGCCATTTATTTTTATGCCCTCATTTGCATTTTCCATACATTTGTTAAATATTTCCTCGGAATACATATTGAATAGGAGTGGGGATAATATACACCCCTGACGGACACCTCTTTTGATCTGCACGCTTTCAGTGAGTTCGTTGCCAATTTTTGCTCTTGCTGTTTGACCCCAGTATAGGTTTGCCACAATTCGAATGTCCTTGTCGTCAATACCTGTCTTTCGCAGAACACCTATCAATTGTTCATGATTGACATTGTCAAATGCTTTTCTAAAATCTACAAAGCACAAATACACGTCCTTATCAACGTCTCTACACCGCTGCATCTGGTTTCATAGAAGAGTTTATTTTTGGTAGCGGAGGTCTGCTAAGTGGGCTTGTTTCATTAAACTCTTTATAATAAAAACCTTTATTATTATTATATTTTGTTTTTGACCTTTTATTTTGTTTTGGTAAATAAACTCGATTTTTGTCGTCTTTTTGTTTAATTATTTTAATTTTTTTTTAAATATTTTTTTATTTTTTGTTTTTTATTTATTTTTTTTTTGTATCATATGGTTTACTAAATATTTTGTAGTTCGAATTGCTTAAAAGTTTCATGTTAATTCTATGGTTAATGCAATATGTTTTGTTTAAAGCATGTATTTACACGTTTTCAGAGAAAATTAATTCATTTAAGTGAAATGGTAAGCATATATTTAGATTGCGCAAGTTTTCATAAAAACCTGCAATATTTTTCTGATATGTTTCACATTCTAATAGGATCTATGCTAAATCTCCATATTTTCCACAGGTACAGTTTGGAGGGTCGGATAGTTTCATTTTTAGGTTATTGATAGTATTAGAGCATGGTTTGATCTTGTATTAATATTGTATTATTAATAGTTTTTATAAAAATTCTGTTGACCAAAAAACAGATTTTTTGAAGTAGTATGGGTTGTCTCACAATTGTACATTTAACATAAATATTCAAAAATAATGTATTTATTTAGGTTATGCAGTTATATCAAGTATCTAGTTTTAGTATATATACTATACAAAAATAAAAAATTTACAACAAAAAATTTTACATCAAAGTGTCAGTCTTGAAAAAAATTGTAACGATAAGACTACCAAAGAGAATTAAAATACTATTATAAAAAAATACCTCAATCAACTATGGGAAAATATTTATTCTACCGGACAGAAAGAGAGAGGGCGGCAACTATTTTTTGAAGAAAAAATAGTACAAACGAAACTGAAGGTTAAGGAATTAATAAATTAATAAAGAAATTAAAATAAAATAATTATTTAAATATAAATCAATAAAGATGTGACGTTTATAACGTTACAAAATATTTTACGTCACGCGACCAAAAATTGCACGTTGTTGAGTTGATGCACGTACTAATTCCTCCTTCGATAAATTCTCTAAAAGGCTAATAAGTTTAGGGTAAAGGCTAAGCGTAACATTAGGCTAATAAGCCTGGAAGAGAACTTATGGAATAGAGTTAAATTCGTCGTTATTAAACCTACATAATTGATTTTTTAATTAAAAAAAAAAACAGCATGAGATTAAAATATCCGAAACTTATAATATATTACTCAAGACATTTACCTATGGATTTGTCCATTACTGTGAAAATATTCTAGGCCTTTCAATACTTCTCTAAGAACAGTGGCAATGGTTGCTTCGTCGAATACTCCATGTTTACAATTGGATGCCCTCATTTTATGTTTTATTATGTCCAATAAACTGCCTCCTACAATTATAAACAAATATTAAATTAACATAATGATTTGATTAAACAGTACGTTAGATTAACAGATCTATTTAACAGAAATAAAATACGTTGTATTTGATTTTTCTATGTCCACATCCGAAATCGTTCTCTAAATGAAATTCAAATGTCAACTATAACGTATTTTTAATTTAAATTGTGGTTGATTCTTATAATAAACTAAAAAATCCAGTGGAAGATTTAGAAAGCGCGCGTTAGTAAAAGTGAGAAACAGGAACCACGAGTAGATTGATTTTTCATAACAAAAAGAATATAGTTTTTCCGCTACCAGAAAGTATGAATAAAAACAATTAAATCTGAACAAAACAAGTTATTTATTTAATTGAATTTGTAAATATTATTTATGGTATTATATGGTATGGTGAATAATATAAATTAAAGAGTGGTGCATTGGAAATATATATTCTGTAAGATTTTTCAAAATATATTTACAACAGAAAGAAAGTTAACTAACGAATTAGATAGAAAAGTAATTGCAGAAACTAATTGATTTTTGTGATGATCATTTTTAATGTGGAAATATCCCCACCTGTATTTACCAACGCAGTCACTCAGATACAGACTAAATAGTGACCAGTTTATTCTTGTGAAGAGTTAGGGTATTCTAGAAGTTCAAAAAGAAATACATAAAAAGACAAAAATTGTGATAATTAGTTAAGAAAGAATTGGTGGTATATAATTTACCAGCAATGAGAAAATGGTATAACGACAGTCAACATACACATATCTTGGCATAGTTTTAAATAAACAGTCGGATTATAGACAATCCAGGCATATTGCCTGTTTTCGATTGCGTCGTATTCTATTGGAATATTGTCATTAGACTTCTTTCTAGGTTGATCTATGCTTCTTCTTTCGATTGGTGACTTATCTCGGACTATTCTATTCTATTTTCTGCCATTCTGCTAATGTGACTATTCCTTTCTTTATTTCAATTTAAAATTGAAACTTATTTTGCTGAATTGCTACAATGATATCTATTCTACAATTTATTATAAGAAGTCGATTCTTGGACATTAAATGAGGAAACAACAAAATGACTAAAAGCTCTTATAGAAGAATTCTTAAGATCACGAATGAACAAAACATCAAATACATGAGTGCTCCAAAACCTTAAGAAAGAAAAAGTCATAAAAGTAAAACGTAGAAAATTTGAATATTTGGGTCATATTAGGAATCTACACCATAAAACCAAATATAAATTACTGAAATATATTCTGCAGGGAAAAGTTGAAGACAAAAGAGACGTTTCGATATAAAGAATATCCTTGTTAAACAATTTAAGAACCTCGTTTCCCACACTTACCCGGTTAATAAATAGGCATTAGAAGAATACTGTTGTCAAAATGTAACAATGTCTTAAAGAATATTGTTCCGCGTATTAATCTTAAGATTGAGAAATGTAGCAATTTGTTTAATCATATTGTTCAGTTTATTAATCTTACTTATCGTGTGTATTCGGTAATTAATAAACAAAATATCAAAAGGAATATCAAAGTTCTCGGCGCCAAATAGTTATTTACAATATTATAAAAATATCTCGTGATTGTACATCTTCTTGATTTTTTAAGTTTGTGTGGTAGTGGTTTGAAAATAAATAATCTACTTCAAGAGCCAGAATTTTTAATTTCTTATGTAAATGAATATAATTGAAATTAAAAAGTATTTATTTTATGTTCGTATAATTTGTTACTATAAATTAGTAGTGGATTCTATTGTAGTTTTAGGTGAATTATTATCTCTTAACTTCTTTCCAAAGATATTTCTACAAAGATTTCTATACATGAAGTTTGAGAAATCAAAAATTTTTGTATGTACCTTGTAACTGCTGCTGTGAATAAACACAGGTCTGATTTGTTTTGAATACCCGCTATAAATTTGATTACACACAGTGTGTCAATTTTAAAACTTACAATGGGCTATATCTCACGAACAAAAGCCGATATCGGAAAATGCTTGAACTTGTTTCTAGGATATTAAGGTGAAACTAAAATGACATGAAAGAGAACTCACCCACATCAACCCACTAGGCCCCACTCACCACACCCAAAAAAGTTTAAATTGCAAACCCCTACTTGTGATACATCATTGAAAAGACTGTAAAAAATGCTATCCAATGGTATAAATATTATTTATCGGAGAAAAGCCTCGACAATGCTAGAGAACCATACGGAAGATCTACGCATAGGGTCCTGGAATTCCGGCGGAATTTTCAAAAAAATCAACCTTCTGGACGAAATAATAAATATATTACAGCTCGATATCGTAGCTCTTCAAGAAACTAAATTAGTGGAAAGGAAGAAAACTAAATTTCCAGGCTACGATATCTATAGAACGGATCATAGAGCAATATCAGGAGGAACAGCCATACTAGTTAAAAAAGGAATAGAACATGAACATATCCCAACACCAGGTGGACTGGTCAAAATGGAAGCCACGCTAGTAAGACTCAAGGCCAACAATGAAACACTAAAAATAGTGTCAGCTTACGTCAGACCTAACGATCCGATATTCGACGAAGATTTAAGCCATATCCTCGACTCAGAAGAGCCTACGATAATCATACGAGACCTAAATGGAGATCTCCCAACTGGTTCGATAGATACAGAACCGACCTGTTTTCACGGACAACTCTATACACATCTAGACATTCCAATCCTACACAACGTGGGTCAACAATACGAGATACACTCTCTAAACGAAGGCGATTCGACGCATATTCTAATCGTCCTGACCCTGGGCGCAATAGAACTAAACTATTTGCAGTCCCACAACAGAAAGAAGACAAGTTGGCCAAACTTCAGAAGAATTGTGAGCGAAAACATCGGTAACATTCCAACAATAAACAACATCACAGGAGTAGATGACAGATACACCAAACTAGAAGAAACAATAATTAATGCTATCGATGCCAGCTCTAAAACCGAAACAATCACAAGACAAAAAGGAAGATTTAGGGATATAAGCTACGAGCTACAAGACTTAATCAAAGAAAAAAACAGAAAAAGGAGAAGAGCTTATCGCACTAGAACAATAGAAGATAAAAGGATTGCAAATGAGCTAGACAGGGAAGTTAAAAGACAACTACAAAATCATAGAAATGAAAGCTGGGACACCTATATCCAAGAACTAGACCCCAACAAATCCGCCTTCTGGAAATTATCGAAAATCCTCCGACAGAACAAGAAACCCATACCTCCCTTTCATGGAGTAAACGGGATTGTCCATACGGAAATAGATAAAGCTGAAGTCCTAAAGGACGAACTAGAAAGGGCATGTAGAAACAACGAACATCCCAATGAAGACATAGGCTTCGAAGAAGAGGTAGAAAGAACAGCTAGAAGACTAAAGAGAAGAAAGGGCAGAGTAGGGATAACACACACATCTCCCGATGAAATAATAGAACTAATAAAGCTGACAAGCACTAAAAAAGCCCCAGGACCTGACAACATCACCAACAGGGCACTAAAAAATCTACCCACAAAAGCCATTGTTTACATTACGAACATTATAAACAACATGCTCAAATTAAGATATTTTCCAGATAGATGGAAGGAGGCACAAATCATCATGATTAAAAAGCCAGGGAAGGACGGGACTTTTCCGCAAAATTATAGACCTATCAGCCTTTTGTCATCAATAAGCAAGATAGCGGAAAGAGTCATATTAAAAGACTCAACGAAGAATCGGAAGCACTAGGCACCATACCAGAAGCTCAATTTGGATTCAGAAGCGAACATTCATGCAAACTACAAGTTCTACGTTTCACAGAATTCACAACAAAAGGCTTTAACGAAAAAATGTATACCACAACAGTATTTCTGGACGATAGTAAAGCATTTGACAGGGTCTGGTATAAAGGACTCATTTTTAAAATGAATTCTATGGGATACAGCGAGGCGATGACATACCTCCTTGGATCATACCTAGCCAACAGAAGGTTCAGAGTTCGAACAGAGGCAACCCTGTCCGAGGTTGGCACCCTGGAGGCAGGTGTGCCTCAGGGAGCTGTACTATCGCCGTACCTGTACACCATCTATACGGTCGATAAGCCAAAAGAACCAGGATCCCTGTTAAGTCTTTACGCTGACGATAAAGCAATAGCTGTTAGCTGGAGAAATCCAGTTCATGCAGCTAATCATCTGCATAGAGCACGTAATAGATTCCAAAGATGGTGCATCAAATGGAAAATAGCCGTAAACCCGGACAAAACACAGGCAATAATATTTAGTCACAGAAGAAGTGTACCGAACCGAGAAATAACGATTGGGAACACCCCAGTTGATTGGACCAACGAGGCAAAATACCTAGGGGTGTTACTAGACAAGAAACTCACTTTTACGCAGCACATAAATCAGCAAACGTATAGCTAAAGAACGGCGAGAATGGCGAAAGTGGCACCCCCTGATTTTAGGGTTAATATAAAATCAGTAGCGTCTGATCCAAAATGGACGGCTACGAACAGCGTCTGACCCAGAGTGGGCGGCTGAATATAGACTCACCAACCCGTCTGACCAGCGTGGTGTTTTATGGTCAACACCTCCCTTCTCAAATGGCGAATACAAACCCGAACGGAACTGGTCCCCAGGTAGGTGGTTCACATTGTGGCAAATCCTACACCTTATCTAATAATGTCAGTCTCATCGGATCTGGGGGAGACAATAGTAGTAAGATCTTTGTCTAAAGACGAGGAACTCTATGAATTAGAGGAAGAAGTTAAACACCTGCAATGGGACATAATCAGACTATCGGAGGTAAAAAGAAAAGGTGAAAACTGCATCTCGCTAGAGTCTGGAAACATATTGTATTTTAAAGGTAGAGAAAACGAAAGTTTAGATGTAGTTGGTTTTTTGATTTCGAAAAAATATGCTCATAAAATTTAGGAATACGTAGGAATAACAGAAAGAATCGCTTTATTAATTATAAATATCAGCGAAAAGGTCACCTTAAAAATAATTCAG